TAGAATTCGTCCTGGAAGTGCACTTGTCCAAAATGTTTAAAGATTTTTTAAAATGCATAAAAGAAAGCAAGCAAGAGGGTGCTTACCACCTATGGGTGGCTTGTCTGGGTCACCAGTCCCTGATCTTGAGCCTCTTCTAACACAGAAGGCCAATCCTGCTTCCCAATGGACCAGGGACCCCAGGAGAGGCCACACCTCACCCCCGCCCTGTCCCTGCCTGGCCAGCCACCTCCCCTGTGCCTTACTTCCCAGAAAAATAGCACTGTGGCCAAAGTTACCGCTTCCACAGCTTGCTTGCAGAGATTATTTATTATTTATCAGATACAAATTTATGTACAAGATTGAATATTTATAAGGTTACTCAGTGGCATTGGTCATAAATCTGTTACGTCCAGAGGGAAAAAAATATTCCCTCAGGATGAACTGACTTGCTCTCTGATTCAAGGTTACTGTCTAACGCCAATGCTGCTGGAAACTTCGGGCAGAGTCAGAGCCGAGGAGAGTCAGAGCCATTTACCAAGTGGCCCTGGGCGTGGCACACTTTGTCTGCGGAGGGCCAGGCGGTCGTGGGCGCTGACTCTGCAGCCCCAGCACAGAGCAGGCACAGACAGAATGGACAGGAAGGAGTGTGCACGTCCGTGTTCCGACAAAATCTTAGTCATCAGAACAAACAGCAGGCCGCGCGCCAACTCCTGACCTCAGTGCTCCTGGCTTATTTGTATTCTCAGTTACACCTGCCCATCTTCTGAAACCCCTTTGGACTAAGACGCAGTGGAAACCAGAAACACTAACGCTAAAATCATTTGTCCATGGCTCACAGAGAAGGAACACGCAGGTCCTAGACGCAAAGTCAGCAAAGGGCAAAGGAGCTGCCGCGTTAGACCAAAGATGACATGGTCCCCAGGATGGCTGGGACTTACCTAAGAATGACCTGGCCACAGCGTTCAGTGCCTGGGGAGGCCACGGCATGAACCAGTCAATACCAGTGTTATTCACCAGGCCTAGCAAGGAAAGAGAGAGAAGCGGTCCTTCTGCAGCCCGGAGGCACATGGGAGCACCAAGCCATCCTCAGAAGCCACGGACACAGTGGCTGGGCCGTGTGAGCCTAAGCCCGGTTTCCTCAGAGCTAGGTCCTCACAAGGACCCTGGGTAAGGCTGACCTGGGGTGGGGCGTGTGACCTTCCTACTACAGAGCTGGCTGTGCAGCCTTGTGTCTGCCTTTGAGTTGTCACAGCTAAAAATACCTGCAGATGAGACAAGTGTCCCTTGGGGAGCCACAGGCACACCCCATCCTTATCTCCATTTAGGAAGTTACTTTTGTTTCCAGCAGTGAGGCCTGGATCTAGGGCCTTCCCACCGAGCCACATCTACATCCCTTTGTTATTTTGAGATGGGATCTTGCTAAGACCCCAGATCGTGGCTGGGGAGATGGCTTAGTGGAATAAGTGCTTCCCTGGCAAGCACAAGGGCCTAAGTTCAATCCCTGGTTCCACCAAAAAAAAAAAAAGACCCCAGATCGCCCAGGCTGAGGTCAAGCTTGCCACCCTCCCTGCCTCCACTTCTCCTGGGATCACAGGAGTGCACCACCACACCCAGCTAGAAACCTGTGTGCCAAAAGTGGGCACTATGGTTTCTACGGGGCTGGTAGAACTGTCCCAACTGAGAGGGGACAGAAAGCCTCTTGCCCTGTGTTGTAGGTCCTGCACCTGGGAGTGTGAGCATGTCCCCAGGCCAGAAGGGTTTCCCTTAGTGCAGGGTCCTGCTTCTCCTGTTTCCCTCCACTGGCAAGCTCCAGAGGACAGTGGGTTCCCACACTCTGCCGCACCAGGCCAAGGGGTCTCTCCAAGGTACCTGGGAAATTCCTGCAGCGGGTCCTCAGCGTGTCCCCGATGGGCGACATGCCCAGCACAATGTGCAGGTTGTTGGCACTCTTGTTCACGAAGTACTGCCACACGGACTCCTTGGCCGGGCCCATGCCGTGCTTGGAGGCCTCCTGGCTGAGCTGGCCCAGGACACTCTCCTTCTCCTCCTCCGGGAACAGTGCGGGGACGATGCCTGCGGCAGACCCCCAGGAGCTGGCTGGCCATCTCGCCACACTGCCCCAGACACAGGATGCACGTGTTCTTATTAAGCCCCAGATGTCTTCCTGAGCCGAGGTGTGGACACGGAGGCCAGCAGCTTCCCGAGCAGACATACTCAACTACTGCCAAGCGGAGTGGCTTAGAGCAATGACATTCATCCTCTCAAGCTCTAGAGGCCGGAGGCCTGAAACCAAGGGGCCACTGGCCCATGCTACCGAAGCTCTCAGAGAGGACACCTTCTATCGCCTTCAGCTTCTGCTGGCTGCAGGTGGCTCTTGGCTCTGGCCACATCACTCCTGTCTCTGCCTCTGTCCTTCCAAAGCCTTCTCCTCTCTCTTCAAGTCTGCCCCCATTTTTTCTCATAAGGGGAGTGGTCACTGAATTCAGGACCCACCCCAAATGCAGAACATCCTCTCAAGATTCTTACATGCATCAGCAAAGACTTCTTAAAAAGGCCCTGGGGCAGGGCTCCAGGGACATGGCAGTTTGGGCACAGGGTCTACGGACTGGTTTGGGGTCCACTTAGAGGATTCTCGGAGCATGCTCTTGGGTGATCTGGGTGGCCATGGAGGTGAGGTCTTGGGACCTTTGGCCCCTCGCCCTGTCCTGTCTGGCACTTCCCCTACTCTGTTTCCAGCAGCTGTCCTCCCTGTTCCTGCCTTCGAGACACCCTACCGTGGGCTCAAACCCCAAACCGTGAGCCACGTCAAACCTCTCCTCCTCAGAGCTGCAGGAATTGAGCGCTGTGCCTCGACGGAGCGGCACAGGGGCGTAGGCCTGTCTCTAACCAGCCTCCTACAGCAGCTCTGTGCCTCAGCGTCCCCCGTTGTAAAAACAAACAATAAGACTCCTTTCTCATCAGGTTTTTGTGGAGACTAAGCAATGTGTGACAAATGTGCCAAGGACATTCAGTAGCCCCAGCTGTCCCTCTGACGGTGTAGAGAAAAAGATGCCCTCAGAGACAGGGCAGGCAGCACCTCGGGGGTCTCATGGGAGACCAAGGCAGACAGGCCCCCCTTGAGGTAGAGAGGCGGCTAGGCAGTCAGAGGGGGCCGTGGGAGGGGGGGCCACCGGCAGCAGGCGGTACCTGAGGTCAGCATGTTATTGATGAGCTCCAGAAAGCCCTCCTCAGCCACATGTGCGTCCGTGAACAGGAAGATCATCATTTTGTTCTCAATCCCAAGCTTCAGGTAAAGGTTCTTCAGGTCTTCCCGGAAGCTGTTCTCGGAGTAGCCACGGCTCAGCATGATCTCAAACACCTGGAGATGCAGAGCCCAGGTCACCAGGGTCTACGGACTGGCTTGGAGTCCACTTAGAGGATTCTTGGAGCATGCTCCAGGGTGGTCTGGGTGGCAATGGAGGTGAGGTCTTGGGACCTTTGGCCAGCGGAAGGAGCCCGCTGTGTCTCCTCCAGGACAGCAGAAGGACCCGGCGTCCAGGGGAGTGGAAGGCAGCGTGCCCTCCAGGGCGGATCCTGATCCACATGGAAGAGGGACACGGGTGTCAGGGCCAGTGACACAGGCCAGGCGCGATGCCGTGCAGTGACACAGGCTCAGGGGAGGCCGAGGCTAAGCCACAGCACTCTGCTTTGGCCATAGCATGAGCAGCAGCTTGTTTGTACACAGGTGGGAGGTGCAGGTTTGCGCAGGGCACACTGGTGTGTCCAGGTGGGAGTACAGGGCACACTGGTGTGTCCAGGTGGGAGTACAGGGCACACTGGTGTGTCCAGGTGGGAG